CTACGGACCAAATTGAGCCGACCGTTCGGACCGTTCCGGTTGGTAGCATTGAGAGTTTTAAAAGGACAAGACGGATCAGGTGAAACGGTCTTCGCGCCGAAGCCGAAGATAATCGTACTGCTGCATAGAACAGTCCCAAGTATTTTGGGCCTGTGTTAGTTTGGGGCAAAAGAAGACGTATCTGCTCAGGGACAAGTTTATTAGAACAATTTTCTTAGAAAGTTGAGCAGTAAAATGCTGAATGTCCTCTGATACGCCATGAACGGTAGATGGATTTACGACTGAACGGTAGACATTTGACGTGCAAACGACCGAGCACGGTTTCAAGTTAATTTAATTTACGTTAAGTTTCATTTTCAACGGTAGGTCCTAGGAGATCTACATGAACTTAATGGATTAGAAAAATGATGTACGTCTCTGACAAAGCTCCCAGATGTTAACGTCAATGACTCACTCGTTTGGAAGAGGCTGAGAAAGTTTGTATTTGCATGCGGGCTGCAAAATTTAGTTCAGGCGTTTGTTCTGGGAGACGGGTCAGTCGCACTGATGGGCAACATGATAGAAGTTTCCTTTTCTGCTTGAAACGGCATAATTGTTGCTGGGTTATGGTGATCCAAGCTTTCGTGTATTTTAGGACAATGTTTAAGGAGGCAGTTATGGCTTAGACACACTCCAAATGCCCAGAAATAGCGTCAAGGGTGTGGTGTTTTGTATCATTTTAAAGTTAACCATTTTGTCAGTTGCATAACGGTTTTTTGTTTGAATACTACAACAGCGCGCACTTGTATAATTTCAAGTAATACAAACGTAACTAGGTGCTTCTGCTCACCCTCCTGATTTTGCTGGCAATCACTGCATTCATTAGCGAGCCTCATGTGCTAACTGTGATATCAAAACATTTCAGACAACCTTCTAAATCTATTATATGTGGAAACTGTTTAGAAGACCACCGAATAAAAACCATGATCGAGGTATTTTTCAATTGCTGGCATATGCCAACAACGAACTACTTCAAAGATAATAATTGTTAGTGAATGTGTTCATCTGACCTGTTTATTCTTGTATACTCAAACTGGCGCTATTATTTTATATTTATTTGCCGTATACTCTTGGAAAGGTAGCTTTTCGGGCAGCCAGACTACTACTGGAGTCACTTTCAGCTCAGAAGTGCCCCATTCTTGAAAGCAGTATTTCGCTGAATAGCATTAGCACTGCGGCCGTCTATACTCATCGGGGTACCGTTTCTACCATGGATGGCAAACTATCAAATGCCGAGTCCTAATATGATTACGGTCGGAAGACTAGCTGGGGAGAGGAGCTTCTCATTCCGTTGTGGAAAGGTTTTGGTAGATATATCATCAAGAGTAGGGTTCAGCGATTTTAAGCTTATAGATTACTGGTCGGAATATTCGAAAACCTTAGTAACTCAGGTAGCAAATTCCAGGACATTGGTTCATCAAACCAATGTATATTGTGGCGGAACAATGTAAAAGTGTGTGACAGCGCATTTCCGTAACAATATTTCAGGATGACTTTTGATGCTCAATCCATGAGCTGGTCCAAAATAATCACTACTATTATAAAGAACGTAATCAAAAATAAAATTCAGGGCACATGGCTCAGAAATAAAAACACCAGTGATTCTGACTGAAGGTAACTTGTCAATGCGGTCATTTGCTTTGAAGGTTGATTCAACAGCGACTTCCCCTGGTGGAAAGCTTAAACAAATATGTAGACATGAAACTCATCTTCCAAATTTTAGTTTTTTTAGCCATAAAAGTCGCTGAATTGGCGCCCTCCCTGTGTAAACAAACCCGTGCGGATATCTTAGTAGTATATGTATTATTGTTACATCATTATATCATATATTATATATTACATTGCATTATATTGTTATTTTTATATTATGAAACGTCTGTCGGATATGAGCTCGTGGAAGAACGTGAGCATTTGCTTCCGACAAGCAATTGGACTACTTTCAGCTCCAAAGAATTCAACGGTGGAGACTAAATGGTTCGTGGGTAATTCTGCGAAAATGACTTTGGATATGACGCCATGAAGTGTAGGCGGGCTCACTGTTTCACGTAATTGACAGTGCGGGCTCCAGGTATTATTCTTAGGCATTGAACAACCGGAATCTGAGTATTCAATAAACTTCCTGTATCAAATTGTAACGAAAAGCACTCGCAGCTAGCTTCAGTTTGGTCTATTTTTTCATCATCATAATTCTTTCATCAGCAGCAAAATTCAAGCACGTGTTTCCAACTGATGATAGATTTGGAAGTAAAGATTACGGTTCATCTATTGTTAACTCTGTTGCACACATTCAAAAGAAAA